TGCCCCTCTATAGTGGTGCTAGTATCCCTAATACCTTCATTGGCCTCATTAAACACCGATGCAAAATATTCATTTGTTTTATGTGGAAGGCACTCACGTGCTACCATGAAGGGCAGCAGTACAAGCTATTCTGTTACACAAAATCCCTGGGCTCCTTCATCCAGTATGTGGCAACTCTTTCACTCCTCTCCAATGAGCAGTCAGCTGGCAGGTAGCCGGTTTGGATTCCCTGCATGGAGTACCTTGCCCCGGCCATTGCTGCATCCTTTAGCAGCTGCTTGACTGCTATTTCTCCATAAGAGGCAGGTGCAGGACCCAGCAGGGGTGGAGGGTGAACAAGCTTCTCATGTGGGCCAGGGGAGGCAGGTCAGAGTGGGACTGGCTCTGCCCTGTGGTCTTCAACTACTTGTTTTTTACCCTCCTCCCCCCCCCCCAACAGATTTCACTATAACTACTTCCGTCACACCCAGCGTAGCCAGTCCTGGTGATGTAAGACACCTCAGAACAGGACCTTAAGTGTTAAAATCAACAGGTCTAAAATGCAGAGGAACAAGGTAGTGTTTCAGGATAAGTCAACACACACACACACACACACACACGATCAATAAAGTGAGCTACTCTTGTCTGCAGCATTTGGCAAAATTGTTGCACTGGAGGTTAACATGCCAACATGGAAAACCGGAAAGTGGTGGGGTTTAGGGCTATATAAAAGGGAAGGACGCAAGAGAAGTGTTTTATAGTGATGAGCTTTTACTTTGGGTGGAATGGCCCTGGGAAACTTGAATCATAAATATGCAGTTAAAAAAATTCAATACATTTGGGAAAAAAAAGAACAAACAAACAAAAAAAATCGAAACCTCTGTAAACCAGGATCAAAGCAGAACATCCTGGGGGTGAAGAGGAAAGGTACAAAAAACTACCATGGTTAACATTATGTTTGGGAAAAAGGGAGCTTTAAAAAGGAAGAGAAGAAGCAAGTCAAGAAAGCAAGTCCTTAAGTTGAAGATACAAATGTTAAAGTTTTTATAAGGGCCCATGGAGACTGCTTAAGAATAACCAAGCAGGTGTAGGCACAATGTTTGTTCTGCTTTAACTGTATTAATTTAGAAAACAGATATAGCTAACAGATCAATCCTCTAGAGTGGATGCAGTAAAACCAGTATAGAAAGGTGTTTATATAGCCTATCTTAATACCAGTATAACTGAGACCACACTAGGGGGTTGTGCAGCTTTAATTATATCAACGTTTGGAAAAAAAAACAACACACACACACACCACAAAAGCCAAATGTCACCTTCCTGACCAAAATAGTTTAATCTGTACAAAAAAGGGTGGATGTAGGCCAAGCCACAATACCAGAGTCTCAGAAGGTGTGCATACCCTCTAAACAAAAAGGGAAGCACTCATGGATAAGAAACAAAGGGAGAAGGAAAACTGGCCATTTATTCCCTTCTCTGTGTCACCATGACAAAATTCTTGGTATGCATCATCCAGACTGCATGTGCCTGACTAGCTGATGACGCTAAACATGTGCGTGGAAGTGAGCACCTGAAAGGAGAGTTACTCATTTAGCCACAGTAATTGAGGAAATGTTGTTGTTCTAGTTAGCCAAGCTGCTGTGTAACCCAACTGGAAAACAATCAGCAAGGCTGTGGTATGCAAAACATCTCGTTCAGTAATTCCTGTGACTACTTGGCTCCTATAGCAACAGAAATTAAGGTTTTTAAAACCTCAGCTCAAATTGTAGTTATGAAGTTGACCATCCCAACTTCGTTTACTTTAATTCTACTACTGCCACCTGCTACTATCTTCTAATTACAATGCTAAATGCTTAAGTGAGTTTTGCCCTAATTAGTCACATAGTAGCTATTATCTTATTTAATTACACCAGCTCTTAGTCATTATATAGTTTGTACTAAACAGAAGAAGTTCCCATGCAAATCTTCTAGTGTTGTCAGTACAGAAATATTCTGTAAGACATACAACTGCTTCATTACATATAATTGCTGGGTGAGGGGGGATAATTGGCATACAGAAGTTCCTATTGTCTGGAACCCTCCAAGTTCATTCAGAGCTGCCCCTGCAGCTCCCAGAGGCAAATTTGCCCTTAACGAAGGGGCAGTACAAAGCTTATGCATCATTTAAATCCCTTTTAAGACCTATGCCCTAAGTGAATGCCAAGGAGGAGAGTTTGCTCCCTGGTGGAACCTTCTAACCGGTGTTCTCCAGTTATAGAAGGGGCTTATTATATGTGTGTGCCTACGTATAGAGGTAATAATAGGCATTGAAAGGTGGCGGGAGGTGGGGGAAGGAGCCAAATGAATAGGAGAGGAACAACATGAGTGAAAGGAAATGTACCAATGCAAGGGAAACTTAGTGGGCCCGATTCTCATTTACAGCATTTTGGCAATGTAACAGGCCTCAAAATGGGTCTAAATATAGGTTATGCCTACTGTAAAGCTCCTCGACGCTGCCGGAGCTGTTCAAAGAGAATCTGAGCAGCAAGTTTTTTAAACTTTTTATACAGAGTTCAATATCCATGTGACTGTTATATTGTGTAGACAAACAGTATTGCATAGATATTTCCAATAGAGAAAAAGGTGTGTGTGTGTGGGTGGGGGGGTTCTTTTTAAAACTGCAGCTATTGTGTAGGTTTAGCAAGTGGCCAGTACGTTTTCCCAAGTCTTGGTGTAGGGTGAGAGGCATTTGCCTTTACAGTTCTCTCACTCATACAACTCCCTATGCTCATATAAATACAAGGTCCCCTCCACACGTATACAGGCTGTTTTATGTTAGCCAGTAGCATTTTACTATATAGAACACCTACTGCATTGGGATGGAGGCATAGCTGGACTTTTCAGCAATTGTATTAGTCATAGCCTCCTGCATCAGCACAAAGGTTTAGATTAGTGCACACATCAGACAAGTTCTCTCAAACGTACATGACGTTCAATTTTGCAGAGATGCGGATATTTCTAACTAGGAGCCAAAAAGCAGAGTTGCCTCCCCTTTGCTCAATCATCCTAACTAGGAAGAGTTCGTGATTTTAAAAAGGAAGGCTGGTTTCTAATTAGCTTTCACTCTCAAAAACATCACTTACCTAAAAAATCCTTTGCAGCCTTCACACGTCATGGCATTGAAATGAAAGCCAGTAGCTTTGTCTCCACAGACACCACAGATACGTGGGACGTTCCTATCAAATTCATTGGCTGGGTCAGGAAGAAGTGTTCTTGCTGCCATCGACTCCATCTCTGAGACTGAGAAAAAGCAAGAAGGTTATAGAGATCTCTTCATTACAGAGACTTGTTAAGCAAATCGAAGATGGAGGCACTGGGTTTCTGTTAACTCACTGGCAAAAGTACTTGTGTTGCCTCTGTATAGTACAAGGAACATGTACAGGAATGTGATGGAATCAAAAAATGAACACATGCAAATTTTGCTCATCTACCCAGCAATTGCATTGCTAATCTTCACTCCACCCACCCTCCCAATTTGACACATGCACCTTGAAGCAGTCTTTTATTAAGATCTGGGGAATGTATCTACATGGCTATATCCCAATCTGAAGTCAGGATCTTTTGTCCCTACCCTTTCATGATCCTTTCAGAAAGAGTTGTGCATTAAGCGTTCATCATTTATACCAACTGGAAAACATGCAGCTCACCAGAAACCAGTAAAATTTCCCTTCTGCAGAAAAAGGAAGCGACCCAAGTAGATCGTGCCACCTTTACGAGGAGATGAGTAAAATCGCAAACACAAGTCACACACTGCCAGTCACGTGAGCAGAGTTTTTTTTAAATGTCTTGGTTCTTAAATAATGGGGTTTTTGTTTGTTTGTATGTCTGGCTGGTAGTTTGTTTTTAAAAAGGGATGAAGAGGAAAGAGTTGGTGCTTCACAAAATGAAATTTAGAAATTGCACATACTGTATTATGTGGTCTGTGGCAGCAAACACTAGAATTAAGCATATATGTAGATGCCTGTTATAACCTCATTATTACAATATAACAGCATGCTCATAACTGTGTCTAAAGTTTCCCACTTAGACAACTGAAGATCCTTTTTTTGAAATTTGATAACTCAAAAATGGCTAAAAGTTTGAACTTCCCATGGTGTCCAGGCCTTGCTGGATAACAGTCTTTGGACTAATATGGAGTGGGGGGCGGAAATAAAACTATATGCAACTGAACATTTTGCTTGATACACACAGTTAACATATCTGCTAAGTTTGGACTTTTTATAGAGAGCACCAATTAGATAAAATCACTGCTTGTCAGTTACATAGATGTGATTTTGAGCTGCTTTTTGATTGTGGAGTTCATCTCTTTGTATACTTTCAAACTGTGGAACCAGTCAATGAAATCAGTAGAAAGACCAGCAGTTTAGTCTTCTGCTCTCATCTACCTCGACCCAACATCCAAGCTTGAAAACCACAGGAAGATTATATGGTAGCAAGTTACTGAACTAAGTTTTTTTTAAAAAAAAAACCTCTCAAGAATCAGAATATGCAAGTGTTATTGTTACTCTGCAAATGTTAATTCCCCCATTGCACCAGATTTTCAGAAGTGCTCAGCACCCAGAAGCTCCCATTGTTTTCCAGGGGAGCAAACAGCATTTGGCTGGGAGCAGAGAATTTATCAGAATCTGATCAGGTACCTGAATAAGTAAAGTGGGAGCTGAGCTGGCTCGTGGAGTTTTGAGGTTACATTTTTAGAGGGGATTGGGTTCCATTCCTAGTTCTGCCAATGATTCACTGTGCAATTTTGAGAAAGTCTCGTCACCTCTGTGCCTCAGTTTCCCCATCTGTAAAGTGGTATTAGCTCAGAGGGATTGAGAGGCTTAATTTAAAATCAATTTACAAACTTAAGATCCCCAAATAGAAATAGAGTATTTTTGTTAGGATACACATTTCAATAGCATAATTAACAGATGACGACATGTGCAATACAGGCATGTTACTATAGGATTTCTAACTTGCATGCTCTGTCTTTTCAGTGTTGAAAATACTATTCTTAACATCGGATTAAGTAAGTTTAGTATTTAAATGCATTAGGGAAATTCAGTAAAAGTATGCCTCAGACAGGATTGGAACATGCGACAGTAACACACTTGTGCTCTATTTAATACGGACTCTCTGTAAATAGCCTTGAATGTATCTTACTCTTGTGTTAAAGTTTCCTCAGTAACTCATGTTAATTTAGCAGCCAGGAGGGAATCATACGGTCTGATTCTCAGTTGAAGGCAGCTTTATCTGGCTCTGGCAGTGTCAAGGGGCCTTAAAGAACTGTGTAGAGCTGCCTTGATGTACATGAGAACCAGGGCCAAAGTCTTCGGTTTATACCCAACATTCAAAGTACTTAAATAGAGAGTCTGTATTCAATAGAATACAAGTGTCTATTAATCTAAATGCCTACTTGTACTGATCTAATCAGGCTCATTAGCTGCCCACCACTGCCATAAGGAATAATATTATACCTTTCAAGTGATCAAAATATCTACTCCACTTTTTGAAAGGCTTTTTCAGTGAGTACTGGAATTGTCCTGTATACTGCTCTCTTCAGGCAGCGATTAATCAACAACCAAGGCCCCAGACTCAATAATCACATGAGCAATAAAAAGTCATTCAGTACAGTATTACTGGCCTTTGCTTTTTTTTTTTTTTAAAAACTCAGCAGTTTGTACATTTTGATTTAAATCCACTTTAAAAGAAGTGAACCAATGTTTCCTGCTAATATAGAGAGCTAATCCATAAAGTGATTGGAAAATTGCACTGTACAGGCTGTTTGAAAATCAATGCACAGAAAAGCAAACCCTTGAGTAAGATTTTCAAAAGTGCTTGAGGGCCAGATTTCTAAAAGGGTATTTAGGCAGTGAGTGGGGTTTTCAGAAGTATGCCTAACACCCATTGGGTGTTACCTTTGAACATCTAGCCCAAGTGACTTAGGATCCTCAGTCTTATTTTCAAAAGTGACATAGGCACTCAAGAACCTAGAGTCCCATTGAAATTCTGAGAGTCTTTAGACTAAGAGCTTGTCTACACTTGACACGCTACAACTGAACTGCTGTAGCGCTTCAGTGAGAACATTACCTACGGGTTCTATCAGTGTAGGTATTCCATCTCATAGATTCAGGCCAGAAGGGACCATCGTGATCATGTAGTCTGACCTCCTGCACATCACAGGCCACAGAACCTAGCCCACCCACTCCTGTAATAGATCTCTGGCTGAGTTACTATCACCCCCAATACAGATACCACTAAACCAACAGATGACTTCTTCTGTCAATTTAGCTACTGCTGGCGGATTAACTACCAAGGTGGATTAACTATACAGATGGGAGAACCCCTTCTAGGGTGACCAGATGTTCCGATTTTATAGGGACAGTCCTGATATTTGGAGCTTTTTCTTACATTAGGTGCCTATTACCAGGGCCGGCTCTGGCTTTTTTGCCGCCCTAGGCAAAAAAGCCACCCGCCGCCCCCCTCGCCTCCCCCAGCACGGCAGGGGAGGGTGCCAGGCCCGGGCCCGCAATCCCCGACCGGCCGGAGCGCCGGGGGAGGGTGGCGAGCCTGCTGCGGCTCCGCTCTCCCCAGCAGCCAGAGCGCCGGGGGGAGGGCGGCGAGCCCGCTGCGGCTCCTCTCTCCCCGGCGGCCGGAGCGCCCCGCTGCGCTGCCCCCCTCCAGGCACCGCCCCAAGCACATGCTTGGTGGGCTGGTGCCTGGAGCCAACCCTGCCTATTACCTCCACCCCCTGTCCCAATTTTTCAAACTTACTCAAACTAAGGCCAGGTCTACACTACCCCCTTAATTCGAACTAAGGTACGCAACTTCAGCTACGTGAATAACGTAGCTGAAGTTCGAAGTACCTTAGTTTGAACTTACCTTGGTCCACACTCGGCAGGCAGGCTCCCCCGTCGACTCCGCGGTACTCCTCTCGCCGAGCTGGAGTACCGCAGTCGACGGCGAGCACTTCTGGGTTCGACTTATCGCGTCCAGACTAGATAAGTCGAACCCAGAAGTTCGATTGCCAGCCGCCGAACTAGCGGGTAAGTGTAGCCAAGGCCTAAGATTTCTCAAAAACTTACTTACTGCTGCTGCTGTAGTAAGGGTCTACACTGAATTGCTGCAGCTGTGCCACTATAGCATTTTAAGTATAGACATATCCTATGTCACTTTTGAAAACTGGATTTGCGTACCCAAGAAGTTTAGACACTCTTGAAAGTTTTACCCCTTAACACAGTGGATGTTTTCCAGAGTAAACACACAAAGAAAGTGCATTCAAGGGCTAGGATTTGCAAAGGTGTCCTTGAGTTTTAACAGATTTGGGGTGCCTAACTCCCTTGAAATTCATTGTGACCTGAGTGCTGAACTCCCTTATAGTCCTACAGAAACCTCAGCCAAAAATTACAGAATTCACTCTCAGCTATTTTAGAAACTCACAAATTCTCCCTCTTTCCTGACATACTGCAGAAGCAAGCAATAGGCATCCCACTACAGACAGATATTCCTTCTGTAAGAGAGAAAAACAAAAACAAAACTACTTTACCGGCATCCAGAACATGCGTCACACCGTCCTGGTATACTCCCCAACAGTTCTGAAGTTGTGACATGGAACAATCTGTGGTCAAAAAATGTTTGACAATGTAATTGCTCAAAACATTAATGATGGTCAGGCAAGTCAAATGGATAATCTCAGATTCTGCTTGAATTCTGGGAATTTACTCCTGCCTTTAACTCTGATCTATTGACGTAAGCAATATTCATTACCTGGGTGTGGTGTTCTCAAAATAACCCACCCCACCCAAAAAGGTTCTTGCAGCACCAAATGCCATGTTCAGCTTTCCATGGCACAGAGGTTCTCATAACGTGTCTACAGGAGGCGGGGTTAAGAGATTATTGCTAATAGGAGGGCATACTGCCCTCCAGATGCCCAGACCAAGCACATTGCTAGGAGAATTAGAGCAATGCTAGGGGAGAATCCATGCCGTGCTCAAAGACACAGGAAGAAGAACAAAGGATGAGAATGACGCACAGCTAGTTTCTTTAATCTTGATAACATTTTTCTATAAACGTAAGTTTCACAATTCAGCTCGTCAAGTCCTTAACACTGAGGCACTGGCAGGCTTGTGTGGGATGGAGTTAATTGGTGCTGAATGGCTTTTCCCAGCTTTGGCCTTGATTCAACAAAGCATTTACACATGAAGTCAGTGGGATCATTTAAATGCTGAAAGTTAAGATGCATGTTTAACTACCATGTGGAATGGGGAATCTCATTTCTTTTTCTGGCTACCCTGTTGGCATGATTACAGGACAACAGTGGATTAATATGTGCATGCTCAGATCCCAGAAATAATTGAACGGGTTACTTTTTTGCTTTGGTGCATTTACATTGGAACTGTGACTAATCTACGCAGCTGCTCTGCTTCCTTCCCCAGACCTGAAGAACTCTGTGGAGCTCAAAAGCTTTATCTTCCACCAACAAAGTTGGTTAAAAATAAAAATATAAAAAAAAATAAAAGATATTACCTCATCTACCTAGTCTCTGTTCTATGCAATACAGATACCACACTAACTTCTTTCCCCATTTTCTGCAGTGATTCACCACTGTCAGTTTCCCATTTTGAAGGCTGAGATATGAAGCCTTGTCACTATTTGTGCAGCTGCTAGATCAAAAGGCCAAATGAAAAGTTCTAGAATACTTTTATTAAACTGAAATTACTTTGACTTAATACTTTCTATTAATCCTTTTCTCAGAAAGAGTAGAATAGAATTTTGCTAAGAGTTTAAATTTTTTTTTTTAAATCAAAAGAGACTCAAGACTGAGACAGTCCAATATTTATATTATTTCAGTTAAAAAAAATTCCACCTATAAAGATCTGCTTCCCATTTACCAACCCATAGAGAATGGAGGATAATCTGAAATATTTTGGGATAGGTTTGACACACTCTGCTACAGATCTCTACCAATCTTAGTATTTGGTGTCAATTACTGCACCTCTCTTATCTAGCATCCCCCAAACCTAAGATTTTAGTGTATTTTTTAAAGAGGCAAAAGGAGTTAGGTGCCCAAATTCCATAGGAAATACCATCTTAGGTCAATAAAGATATACTGGACCATTATGAAAGTGAAAACCATGCAAGTGTACAAGAAGTTACACATTTAGAAGTTAGAGGGAAAGGTATTGCTAGGACATTAGTCCATCAAACCACTACTCTACCCTCCTTGAAGTCGCCCCTCAAGACTAATCTCTACCATATGGTTAACTCACCTAATAATGGCTGGGTAGATGGTCAATGGGGACTTTATATCTATGCCTATACCTTTTTTAAGAACAAGAACATCTCTAACCCATCACACAGCTAGGCTATATAAATGGATGTTCTTACTACGGTTACATTCATCCTCCTTTCCCGGTTCCTTTTTTTTTTTATTTAAAGCCACTTGCTGTATTTTATCATACTTCAGATTGTAATCGCTCTAGGATATGGTCTGTCTCTTGTGTTTCTATAGCACGTACACAGCATAATGGGGCCCGGTCACAAATGGAGTCTGGACTGCTCCTCTATTACAAACCAGTTCTTAAATGACCATTTTCCCCTCCATATTATGTTCCTCTAGGTCCAACAGCAGCTTCTGTTCTGCTGTGAAACATGCTGTACCCTCTGCAGCTTTCAAAGAACCCTGGGGCACAGGGCAAGTCTGGGCAGAGATTAGGCAAATTCATTATATAGATTTACAAGACTGTTTGGTATCCCAAAGATTTAAATAAGAATTAAATTTGTGAGGTGATCCTGTCAGATCTCAAATGTTAAGCAGGACTGGGTTGAGGTAGCATGTGGATAGAAGAATTCCATAGGATACAGGTTCTGCAGACAATGGTGTTGGCAATTCCATAGGTGGCACTCTCCCTCCCCTGAGACGGTAACACTACTTCACCCGGGATGCTGCTGTGTTTTAAACATCAAACTTGAGGTCCTGGCTACTTACTGTCAATAAAAGGTCCCCTGATTTTGTTTGGGGGGGGTCAGGAGGGAACACCAAGACTCTGGATATTAGCATTGTTATCATGGCAACCCTTCAGCGCTCTTCTGACTCACTCAATTCACACAGTGTTGGATGGTCTAAAGGATTTTTCTTCACTTCCTGTGTTGAACTGCTGTGTGATGCCCCATCTACTTTTAAAACAACTATTAAACTCTCCTTTAGGAGGAAGTTGGAATTTAGGGATTGGATTAAGGGATACTTGTGTTTTGTAGTTGCTGACTTTGTAAATAAAGTGCTTTGAGATCCTTCAGTATGAAAAACACTACAATAGGTAAAGAAAGCCATTGGGCCAGAGAGTGTCCATTGCCCTGTACCTTGTGGAGTCACTGAGATCCACTGCTATTCTGATTTAGCGTTTTTTACACCCATTTTGCCCTGGTATAAGTGATGTACATGGGGCAGGGTAATGGAGAATCAGACCCTCTTTCTTGCTCTCTCTTCTTTGCATCTGCTCCATCCTTAAGATTTTGTAACTCTCTCTCATACAAATACCAAGATCTGCCAGCTGCTCCCCGCCTTATGTATTTTGCCAGAGACATCACACAGCACCCTTAGAATGACTCCACTGCCCCTTGATGGTATTCTTTGTTTGGAGTAATCACTTTGTCCGTGTGACAGATATTGCAACCCATGCAATATTTTGGGGGACCACGGTATTACATTTATGAATGGTTTACATATTATTATGTTTTACGCCATAGTGAGGGGTTATGGGGGCGGGGGAACCACATCTCCTACAGGAACTAGAAACAGCAGGAGGTAATTACCCAGAGATCAAACAATTCCAGAGAAGTTCCACCCCACAGGGTAGTTTTCACAGAGGGGGAAAAGCTGGATTTTCCAGAGATAGGAAACAAAGAAAGGACTTTTGGTAGAACAGGATGAAATTAAATGGACTTGTGGTCTTCCTTTTGATTTAGCAAATGGACAGGACTCTGTCCCAGGAAAAGCCCCACCCCTTGCTGAAGGGTTGGAAGGAATGTCGGCCTGTCAGACTCATCCTGTGGGAAGAGGAGTGAATTCTGGCATGTTTAGTCAGGGTGTAGGAACTTTTATTGCTTTTATATGCTTTCGCCATATGCTTTTTTGTCCTAAAAATAAATGTACTCTGCTCAGAAAGAGCTCTGTGGTCACTGGTGAAAAAACAAAAACATTGTCCTTGTCCTTGGAGAGAAAGCACAGCCCATGACAGTGCACAGCAGGGGGCTGCGCATTCTTAAAAGCTCCAGTCAGAAGGAAGTGGGATAAGGGTCCCTACCCAGCAACAGGTGACAGTAGAGACTCAAGACCTGACTGGGCATTCCTGGAATGGATGATGGAGGGGAAATACAGGAACATACTGAAAACAGAGACAAACTCTGCATTTTAGCTCTCCATTAATACAGCACATCAACTCTGAATCCACAGGCCATGTGGCTGCCTGTGAAACATGGGCAGATTCCCCTTATTTGGGCTCCCTCGCCATGTTTGTATTTTAAAAACAGAGGTTTTCCAAATTAGTTTTAGCGTTAGAATCCCAAACCTAACAGAGGAACATCCCAGCTGGAATCAAAACTAACTTTTGCTCTGCTTTAATTCTTGCCATAATCTAGGCTGTGGATTTCTCAAATAGCTGCCAAGGTGCAAGATGCAGATTTTCCACCCTTTGTGCGCGTTTGCCTGATCAGCAGGGACATTACATAAATTATAACCTGCAGGTTTCACTAACCAGGTTACTCAGACACCAAAAGCAGCATCCTCCCAACCTCAATCTGTCTGCCAACCTCCCTCCCTCCCTCCCTGCAAAGCAGCAGCTTCCTTTTCTCCCCCAGCTCTACACAAAACATCCATCAGAATTAGTCACTGCTATGCACTAGTGCCCTAGCTACTCTGATGGAACTAGGTTGCCCCAGCACCTCTGTGTGTTATCTAAGTGCTAGGGATGTGGATAGGACGTTACAATGCACCCAACATTTTTCCAAAATGAAGGTGGCTTCCCTGGCTGAGTGGGACATTGTCCCTTAGGGAAACAGGAGTTCAGTATTAGAATAAAGTGTCCCACACCCCTTAAAACAATATTGGATGAAGACCTAGAAAGCATGCTTTGTTGATATCTACATAAAGCCAGATTAACATTTATAAACATCTGGCACCTGCAAGTGTTAAGTTCCGGGAAGGAATAATACTGCCATCTCTAATCACTCTGGTACCTGGGCACCAAGGTCTAATTGGCAGATACCTTCAGAAATGGAAAGCAGCACAGTGCCATCCTCTCTTCTCCTCTGCTGGGAGAAAGGGTTGAGTGGGAAGGATGGTAAAGAGAAGGACCATTGTCTCTTCCCCACATGCGGTACCAGTAAACTTCTGCTTCCTCTGCAGGTATATTCCGTGCCTAGATGGTCCAGTCAATGCTAACCCTGAGTTACTGACACTCTGCTCCTTGCTCTGATAAGACTCTGGCCAGTACACCCGCACCAAGCAGAGAAGAGCACTCCGGCTCTCTAGTTCCTGCTATGCCTGTAGGGTGACCAGATCAGCGCTATAAAATATCGGGACGGTGGGGGGGGAGCAAAGAAAAAGGGGGGGGGGGCGCG